CCCCGAGCGGTTCCCGGAGACACCTCCGGTGCCGGGGGGGGTTGGGGCGGTCCCGGGGGGTCCCGGGGGGTCCCGGGGGGGTCCCGGTACCGTCTCGGGGGTCGGGACCCAGCGCGCGGCCGCGCCCAGGGCGAGCAGCAGCAGCGGCGGCAGCGCCAACATCGCGGCCCCTTTAAGAGACACCGGAAGCGCCGCGCGTCACGTGCCCAGGGGGCGGGGCCTGCCCTTAAAGCGGCGATGGCGGTGGAGGCGCGGCCTTAAAGCGGCAACGGCAGCGCGGGGTGGGGCCCGCAGGGGCAGAATCGGCGAGTTTGGGTTTTTATTGGTTATTAATTGTTTTTATTGTGTTTTTAATTGGTTTTATTGTGTTTTTATTGTTTTTTATTGTGTTTTTATTGGGTTTTAATTGTTTTTATTTCATTTTTATTGGTTTTTATTGTGTTTTTATTGGGTTTTAATTGTTTTTATTGTGTTTTTATTGTGCTTTTATTGGTTTTTATTGTGTTTTTATTGGTTTTTAATTGTTTTTATTGTGTTTTTATTGGTTTTTATTGGGTTTTAATTGCTTTTATTGTGTTTTTATTAGTTTTTAATTGTTTTTATCGTGGTTTATATTGTTTTTATTGTGTTATTGTGTTTTTTATTGATTTTATTGTGTTTTTTATTGGTTTTTATTCCTTGTTTTTACTGTTTTTAATTGTTTTTTAGTGTTTTTAGTGTTTTTTATTGTTTTTTTATAATTTTCATTGGGTTTTCATTGTGCTTTTATTGTGTTTTTTATTTATTTTTTTTTTTTTCTTACAGTTTTCCTTGGTTTTTTAATTGATTTTATTATTTTTATATTTTTTCACTGTTTTTTAACTGGTTTTATTGTTTTTTACTGTTTTTTATAGTTTTCATTTGGCTTTTTTACTGGTTTTTATTGGTTTTTTTATATTTTTCATTGTTTTTTTAATAGTTTTTATTATTTTTAAATAGTTTTTATTGGTTTTTAAATAGTTTTTATTGGTTTTTAAATAGTTTTTATTGTTGTTTTTATTGTTTTCACTGTTTTTTCATTGTTTTTATTATTTTCATTGTTTTCAATTGTTTTTATTATTTTTATTGTTTGTCTTTATTGTGTTTTTTTATTGTTTTTTATAGTTTTCATTGTTTTATTGCTTTGATTCTTCTTATTATTTATTGTTTTCATTATTTTTATTGTTTCTATCATTTTTCGTTGTTTTTCTTAATTTTCATTGCTTTTATTATTTTTTTATTGGTTTTATTGTTTTATTTTTTATTATTTTTATTGCACTCAGCCCCGCCCCCAATCGCCCCTCCCCCATCCGCAGTGGGCGGGGCCAAACGCGGAGGGGGCGGGGCCCGGAGCGGGTAATTAACATTTAATTTAACTAAAGGCACCGAGGCCACGCCCCCGCGGGAATTCCGGGGGCGGGGATTTAAAGAATCCTCTGGAAGGTTCCGGAACTTCCGGGTCAGGAATCGGCCAAACGCAGCAGGGGCCCGGCGGGCGTGGGGACACTGCGGGGTCAGAGGTCACCCAGGGGTCACCCAGGGGTCACTCAGGGGTCACCCAGGGGTCACTCAGAGGTCACCCAGGGGTCATGGGGCCACACAGGGGCCACACAGGGGTCACTCAGGGGTCACTCAGGGGTCAGAGGGGACACACAGGGAGGTCAGGGGTCACCCAGGGGCAACTCAGGAGTCACTGGGGTCACTCAGAGGTCACTCAGGGGCCACACAGGGGTCACTCAGGGGTCACACAGGGGTCACTCAGGGGTCACCCAGGGGTCAGGGGTCACTCAGGGGTCACTCAGGGGTCACAGGGTCAGTACCTGAGCAGTCTCTGGTCCCCCAGCAGGTCGTGCAGCAGGAACGGGACCCCCAGCCCGGCCCCCGGGGGGGTCACACAGGGGTCACACAGGGGTCACTCAGGGGTCAGGGGTCACACAGGGGTCACACAGGGGTCACTCAGGGGTCACTCAGGGGTCAGAGGGGACACACAGGGAGGTCAGGGGTCACTCAGGGGTCACTCAGAGGTCACTCAGAGGTCAGAGGGGTCACTCAGTGTCACTCAGGGGTCAGAGGGGACACACAGGGAGGTCAGGGGTCACCCAGGGGCAACTCAGGAGTCACTGGGGTCACT